TCTGTACTATAATTACAATCTAATTATGACTTAGTCTGTCTCTGATGAGTTAAGGTGCCTTTCTAAAGATATTATTTGTGCATAACGGCTACTCAGTCGACTTCTTGGTGGTAATTCCTAATATAGAGCTAGCACAGTCACATGTTTATCATGAGAATTTTCGCTCTCATATAGTTTGAGGATAGCCATACATTGGCAGTTCTAGAATCCTTAATCGTTTCAGTAAGACTCCTGTTCAAATCTCTTTTCAGCTTCTGCCTAAAGATTATAGTTTATTTGTTAAGTCTTAGGTTCAAAATTTAACAGAATGACTATGTATATTGCTGAGTAAGCAATGAGATAATACACTATGCTATGCAAATAATTGTTTGGGAAACTTTTTTGACAGAGGCTTTAGTTTGTGAAGAAAGAGGCTTCCAATAGTAAGAATAATTCAGATGGTCTAAATATTTTGAAAAGGAATGCCTACTCCAGAAGTTGAGTAGTCCACGGGAAAGGGCTTGTGGGTAAGGGTGTAAGTGAGCCGAGCTGAGCCAAGCTTGAACGAGATGAAAGAACAATCGAGCTCGAGCTGTATCAAACTAATTTACAGTAATAAGTTGGCCCGCTTATATAACAAGATCTTCAAGCTGGGAAAGATTAATGATAAATAGTGAATAAAAATATAGATATTTTTTTATAAGAAATAAAAATATAGGTATAAACGTAATAATTAAGAGTTAACAGCAAGGACATTGGTCTTTAATATTTTAAAAAAAATACGTTCTTCAACATTAACTTCAAATGTAGGAGCACAACATGGTACTATAAGAACAAGACATAGCCCATATAAGCATCAAAGAAAATAAAATAAACAAAATGCTTTGATTTTGATAGAATTGCTTTGTAATCATCATTCAAAAGATCCTTCATTCCAAGTAAACTTCTTATAAACAAGATGTTCATGAGCTTTGCGCGCCGAGGCTTGGCTTGCTTTTATTACAAGCTGAGTTCAGACGACCCAAAACTCAATATGAACTCAAGTTGTATAGAGCCGATTTACAGCCGTACTTGCTGCTCAGTGTCTGAGTCTACTCCAGAAATTGCCTGCCACGCATACATACTTACACTGTTACACACACAAGTTTCTATGTGAAATGACAACAGGAGAGGTGTTGAAGTGGTCTCTCTCTCTCTCTCTCTCTCTCTCTCTCTCTCTCTCTCTCTCTCTCTCTCTCTCTCTCTCTCTCTCTCTCTCTCTCTCTCTCTCTCTCTCTCTCTCTCTCTCTCTCTCTCTCTCTCTCTCTCTCTCTCTCTCTCTCTCTCTCTCTCTCTCTCTCTCTCTCTCTCTCTCTCTCTCTCTCTCTCTCTCTCTCTCTCTCTCTCTCTCTCTCTCTCTCTCTCTCTCTCTCTCTCTCTCTCTCTCTCTCTCTCTCTCTCTCTCTCTCTCTCTCTCTCTCTCTCTCTCTCTCTCTCTCTCTCTCTCTCTCTCTCTCTCTCTCTCTCTCTCTCTCTCTCTCTCTCTCTCTCTCTCTCTCTCTCTCTCTCTCTCTCTCTCTCTCTCTCTCTCTCTCTCTCTCTCTCTCTCTCTCTCTCTCTCTCTCTCTCTCTCTCTCTCTCTCTCTCTCTCTCTCTCTCTCTCTCTCTCTCTCTCTCTCTCTCTCTCTCTCTCTCTCTCTCTCTCTCTCTCTCTCTCTCTCTCTCTCTCTCTCTCTCATGCCTATTTGGTTCCTCAAAACTCTGTATGTATGCATGTATATGTGTAGGCTTTTTTCTTCCCAAATAGCTGAAAGTTGAGACAGTTATATTGCAAATATGAAATATCCTTTGCTCTAATGTGCAATACTTATTGCCAACTAAACTTCTGGATGTACTTTGTGCTTCCAACTGCATATATGTTTTATTAATCTTTCAAGCCATTGATCTGTGTCAATTGTTGGGCTAATGAATGTTTTTGATGGTTGACAGCATGTATTAGAGAGGGGAAAACCTCATGAAAGAAGCCAAATTATAAGCAAGTTGTCAGGTCATATTGTACAGCTGAGCCAACACAAGTTTGCTTCAAATGTTGTTGAGAAATGCTTGGAGTATGGTGGTGCTGCAGAACGGGAACGGTTAGTTAGGGAGATTGTTGGGAACAATGAAGGAAATGAGAATTTGTTGGTATGAATAATTTCTCTTGATCCTCCGGTCCCAGTTCTATAAGAAGAATCCTTCAGTTATATTCTGTATGTTTCATGCGCTGGTGCACACACTCGCATACACTTATATATGTCAATTTGTAGTTTTAAGAGCGGTACAAGTAATTGGATTTTAAGCTCAGTTGCATATTTTGTGTTGCATTTGGAGCTTCCAATGTACTTTCTTTACCTTCATGTTTGATTTGTCTTAGGTAATGATGAAGGACCAATTTGCAAATTATGTGATCCAGAAGGCTCTTGAAATCTGTACTGATAGTCAGCGGGTGATATTAATTAATCGTATAAGGGCTCATACTCATGCATTGAAGAAGTACACTTATGGGAAACACATTGTGTCTCGGTTTGAGCAGCTTTTTGGAGAAGGTATCTATTCTTAAACTTCAAACCACTCTTGCTGTATTAATGCTGCATGGATTTAAATAGGGAGCATGCGTGTTGAACACTACATTAACTTGGAGAGGTAGTGGAAATGACCGAAATGCAGTTGAAGTAGCCTCAACTGCATTTGAAATTTCCTTCTTTTTTTCAGTTCATTGACTAGGAAAATCCACGCAGCCTAAGTTGCATCCTACCTTCCGGATGCAAGCATCTATGTTTAATCTGCATGTACGGTTAAATATATGGCATAATAATCTTTGATGATGAGTGTCCACTGTACCGCCCCCGGCGACTTTGCTAGTTTTGTTTTTGTTTTGTTTTTTGCTTTTGGTTGTGCTTTTTGTAACTATTCTCCAAACGTCTTTACTTGGTGATCCGGAATAATAAATGACACAGAAAACAAACTTTGCATCTCCTAGTGGTATACAGGGTCAACCTTTGCAGAAACTTCATTTGAAAGTATTTTCGTGTTTCAGTCTTTTCAGTGTACGGTTTGTTTTTCTTTGGCCTACAGAAAATCAATCAGGATCGTGATGCCACGAAAAGGGAATTAAACAAGAATTTACCTTCAGTGAATCTGTGGTTTGTCAAAGCATACAGGTAATGTGCATCCCCTGGGCAATTGAAGAGAATGGCATGAGATTGTGGCTGTGCTGCCTCAGTATGCGCGAAGTTGTCATGTGCAATTCGATAAGTGGGGGTTGATGTTGGCTGGGTTGATAGTTGCAAGTAAATATCTGTTTATCGTCAAGCAATATATACTTAAATACTTTTAGGATGATTTGATTGCAATACAACTCAATTGGATGGAGTAATTGGTAGGAAAACCTTGGTGCTGTAAATTTATGTAGCACATTATTCAGATGTGTGGCTTTCATGATAAGTTGTAGGCCTTGATCTTTTTTCTTTTTCTTGGTTTCAGATTTCAGTTGGCCTTGATCTTTATGGCCGTATAAAAATTAACAAATATTCTGTTCGTTTCCAGAGTCATGACCTTTGAAGCACTTTATCCACCTACGAGTGCCAACTTTTTGGGTCAAATATGTTTTGTACACCTGTGGATTGGGGTCTGACAATTTGCATCAAGTCTTTCAAAGTTGACTAAACTCTAAAACCTAAACCCTTTTGATGTTTCACCCCAAAAAAATAATTAGAAAACCCCTTTCGATGTAGCTTTCAGTGTCTCTTTTTGTTTATTTATAATTTTTATAATGCGTACGTGAAGGGTAAATTGGTGTTTTGGACAACAAATAAAAATCTTTTCTAAATTGAAACCCAAGCATCATTGTGGTGTAATTCTCTATTGAGATTTGTGAGTCTTCTTTAGCAATAATAAGTTGGTTCATATGGAAAAAAATAAAACCAGAGAGAACGAGGAAAACCCCTTGCAGTGTTCTCACGAGTTAAAATGTCAATGCATTTCTCAGTATGCTATCTTGGCTGTATATGATAGCTGAGATGCTGCTAACACATTCTGAACACCTTATTTTGGGGCAACTTTGATGCATGCCATTGTAGGGTGACATTTGCTGCTACAAAATTGTGTGTTTCTTTAGCCCCAAAATCCAAAACGGTGTATTGAAAAGGCTCTCAGGCTCCTCTTGCAAGTGAATATTGATAGGAAAAAGTGCGCATGGTTTCATGAGTTAGGTGCTTAAAGTTCAAGGCAAATATTAATCTTTTATCGGTGAGTTGTGTAGGGTGTCCCCTTACTCCGCTAACCAATTTTTTTTTTATTTTCATTTTTTGTAAATACTTAATCTTTCATTTTTATTATCTCGCATAGATAGTTGCAATCAATTTAAATGAATGAATTTGTTAGAACAAATCATTTCATAGAAATATTAATATTTAATTTATCTAAATTCGTGTAATTTAGTATTTATTCAATTTTTTTGTCAATTTGTAAATTGAATAAAATCGATTGAAATGAGAATCATTCTCTTTACCATCTTTTTTACTCTTTACAAGTTCAAATGCAATTTTACTCACATGACAGAATACCGTGGCCTGCACATGGTCATATTTTTTATTCTAAAAATGTCAGAAAAGTGCGAAAAATATACAAAACTTAAAAACAGAATACCGTGTATATTGTCAAGTGAAAGCATAACCCGTGTATTGTCAAATGAGAAATCTCAACTCTAGTTTTTCTCATTTTTGTTCTGGGTTTTGGATTGGATCTATGCTTTCCATCCAAGTCAAAAGCCTACCATGTTAGGAGATGATCTTGTAATGTTTTTGCAAGTATTGATGATTGAAGGAATTCTTCTTATTGTATAAATAATGCTCGAGTTAAAAAACAAACAAAAAAGCTTGGTTTGAGAATAATGAAAACAATGGGCCCAAACTGGGCTACAAAGTTGGACTTCAGAGACTTAAATCTGAGCCCATCAAGCCTGAAGGTTGTAAACCCATGCCACAGTGCTAGGGTTTAAGCTCTTTCCGTCTCCTCCCTCTCTCTTTCATTTTGTTGTGTTTTGCGAAACAAGAAACAGAACAGAAAGCAATCATGTCTCGGCCAGAGCTGCAAGCTCCACCTGAGATTTTCTACAATGAAGAGGAGGCTCGCAAGTACACTCGCAATTCTCGAATCATGGAAATTCAGTCAGAGCTCTCCCACCGAGCCCTCGAGCTTCTCGCTTTGCCTGAAGATGGCGTCCCCAGGTTGCTCCTCGACATTGGTATCTTTCGAAACCCAGCAGCTCATCTTTCAATTTTTCATAAAAAAGCAAAAGGGTTTTAGTTTTATTCACTGAACAAGTGAAAAAGCTGAGTGCTTTAGCTTTTCACTGTAGGTTGTGGTTCGGGTCTTAGCGGAGATACATTGTCAGAGAGCGGGCATCAGTGGATTGGTTTAGATATCTCCCGGTCAATGCTTGGTATGTGTTTTTTTGGGTTTTTTTTTTTACTTGTTTTTGCTTTTGAGCTTCTTTGCTTGCTCCCATGGGTTGTTTCTAAATGGGCATTTCATTTCTTTGATAATTGGAGATGTTGCATTGGAGAATGAGGTTGAGGGTGACCTTTTGCTTGGGGACATGGGTCAGGTATCACACTTCAAGCCCTTGAAATGTTTGCTTATATCTTGTTTGCAATTCAGCATAATCATTGAAAAGACAAAGAAAAGAGAAATGCATTCACACAAAGTTGTTTCTTTTTTATCAGCAAAATGTTATGGTTCAACCCAAATTTTTTATTTTTGCAGGGCTTAGGACTTCGTTCAGGAGTTATTGATGGAGCCATAAGTATCTCAGCCGTTCAGGTTGCCTTTTTTTTTTTTTCTTTTTTTCTTTTTTCTTTTTTACTCGCCAATACTTACAATGAAATGAATATTTAGCTTGATTTTTTCTATGTTAGCATGTGCCCCTCCATTCTATTTTTAATATATAAACAACCATTTTCTAAATGATTGTGGTTTGTCTAAGCCTTAAAGCTTTCCTGATTTAAAATTGCTATTTTATACCTGTTTTTTCCTCATTTGTAATTACTGATACTACCTCATGTATGGATTGTTGATAGTGTGGTATGGTCTACTTTATGAATATTTCTCCAATTTTACTTTTATCTTTTTTTTTTTTTTTGGTAATGCAGTGGTTGTGCAATGCTGATAAGTCCTCACATAATCCACGATTACGATTGAAGTATGTTTTGTTTCTTATTGGTTTTAATATCCTCATCATAATTCTATATTGTTGTATGCTTGAAATATGAAGATAGGTATCAGGATCTTGTTGGTCTTGGCCACATTAAACATAGGTTGAGCCTGTAATCTCTTCTTGATTGCAATATGAGTGTTTTGTCTTAAATTCTTTTGCAGGGCTTTCTTTGGATCATTGTACAGATGCTTAGCAAGGGGAGCAAGAGCAGCATTTCAAGTGTATCCTGAAAATCTAGACCAGCGAGAGCTGATTTTGAGTTCTGCAATGCGTGCTGGATTTGCTGGGGGTGTAGTTGTTGATTATCCCAACAGGTATGCAACCAATGAAAGAAATCTTATGACAGGCTGTTAGTTTGTCTGAAACAATGTGGTTACTAAATTGCTCTCTAAGGTCTTTGCTCATGCATGAGCCTATATATCTACTGACAAACACCTTTTAACCACTCCTCGTACATGAACCTTTTCAGGCTTTCCGCATCAGCTTTTAAAAAAACAATATTATATATCAGATCGATCCTTGCAATATACAAAAAGATCTGAACAATGCCAGTAAATATGAACAGATATGTAGTTTGGATTTTTATTCTGTATGGAAATTTGACATCCTTGACTAGTTCTTAAGGCATGCTATAATTGATAAATAAAATAATAGTAATTTCGAAAGGAGTAACAAGACCCTAATTTATGGGACATAGAATGGATTTGTTAAGAGATGTTGATGTAATAATTAGACAATTTTCAGAATAAATGAAAATATCAAAGGCTTATAGTTGCGGTTATTCATCTCTGTGTATTTCGTGTTATTTATTTTCTTGAGAATACAAAAGGCAATAAACCTGTAAAGAATGATTGCTGAACTGCTCATCATTGCTGTTGACTTGTGAATTAGCTCCTAAAGAAATTCAGGTCTTAAATAAATAAATAAATAACCTTTTTCTCTTCCATTTTACAAGTTGCACTATCATTGTATGGTACAATGGTTTTATACATTTTCTTGTCTACATGTTCATTTCATCATTTTACCTTTCACTAGTACTCTTTTGATTTCCTTTCAATCTAATTTTTCCTTGCCTGGATGATCGGAGGAAAAATTGGAATGTGTTTCCGTAACTTAACCCAATGAGTGAAGCTTTTAAGAGAGTATTGCATGAATAGGATTTATAGGAAAAAGGGTTAGTTTCTGAGTTCACATTAATTATCTTGTAACAGTTCCAAGAAAAGAAAAGAATACCTTGTCCTCACTTGTGGCCCACCATCTATTAGCACATGCACTCCCAATGGAAAAGGCGAAGATGGTGAGAGTTCCTCTGACGATGATAGTGAAGATGAAGACAATCAGACAGTAAGTTTTCACTGATGCATTTACTGTCTTCATTGTTTTGCTTAGTCAAGCTGATGTTGGCTAGCTACGTTGTCCTCCTCCGGTATAACCTTTCTATTATTCCACAAGGCTAATGTAAATTCCAAAGTACTAAACCATAGCTATTTATTTATTTTTGAATTTCTGATGTGTTATTGTTTGTGTGAAGCAGGTTTCAATCTCAGACAGGCACAGGCCCAAAAAAAAACAGAAAATAACAAAGAAAGGCAAGGGAAGAGAATGGATAATAAAGAAGAAGGAACAGATGAGGAAAAAAGGAAATGTTGTTCCTCCAGACACAAAGTACACAGCTCGGAAACGAAAGGCTCGGTTTTGATCTTACAGCAGGCCTAAATTTTTGAGTGTTCTGGCTTTGGTGTGTGCTTTAAGTGGTTTATATAGGCAAATGCATTTCCTTTTTTCTCAATAGTGCTTTAGAATACTGGCCATAAGCAATTTATATACAGATCTCTCCAGGTTATGGACGTCTGGTTGTAATATGATTATTCCTGTAACCTTAACAGTTTTGAGAAAAGAGAAACTTTGTTCTGTTTTAAGGTATTGAGCAACTTAATAAAAGCCTTGTTTGATGAATGAATATAGTTATTAATTCCTTTTCACCTCTGCATTCATCGTTTTGTGATGAAATTTTCTTGGAAGACTGGCTTGGTAAACCCTCGACATTACCATAATCCGAATTGCAATATGCTGCTTCGCATTTGAGCCAGCTTAACTCCTTCAAAGTTTTTTCCTCTTCTATTTGTTTGGCATTCATTTTTTTGGAATTTGCAGCTCAGAAATTAGGGGTGTGCAAGATCCAATCCAATCCAATTTTAATCGGTTTTGATGATTTGGTGGATTTAATTGGATCCCTAGTTTCCAAAACCGATATTATTAGATCGGATGATTGATTTGATTGGGAGAATCCAATCCAATCTAATTCAATTCAATCCAATTTAGTTAGCTTCATCCTTATTTTGCTCGTGTAAGTATTTATAATTGAAAAAGTTATGAACATTTTAAGTCATTAGATGGAGTTCTGCAATATATTATAGAATAGGGAAATTTGCATAAATACCACCTGAACTTTCAGGTATGTGCGTCATTACCACCTGAACTTTTAATTTTTATTTTTAACCACCTAAACTTTGTAAAGTGTTGCAATCCACCACTTACGTCTAACTCCGTTAAAATTTCCGTTAAGTTTAAGGGTATTTTTGTCAATTAACTATAACAAAGAATAATTATATTAAAAAACAGATTTTAAAAAAAAGTTAACCTAATTACAGCGCCTTCACCCTAACCCTACTCCTACTTTTCCAACTTTTCCAACGTCAATTCGCTCCACTGCAAAAAAAAAACCTACGTTCCCAAAACCCACCCTCTGCATACACCATACTCTATATTCATCTTTGTCTCTTGGCATCTCTTGTGTGGGTTGTTGAAATTGAGTAGCAAACTAAGGATTGAAGTAACTGATATGGATAATAACTTTAGATACGCCGGGGACCCACCAAATTATGGTAAGCTTCGACAATTACGTATTTATACTTTTTAGATTGTGAGTAATTGTTTGGTAAGGGGTGTGGTGATTGATACGTTTGAGTTTGTAACGTTTTATGGTCAATAGTGGTTCTAAATTTATGTGTTTTTCTGAATTTCTTGATAGTTTTTGACTTTACTGTAACTTTAAAAAAATTTATTGTTGTTTAATCTTGTAGTTTGCTTTGTCTATTATGATATTTTGCTTAACAATTAGATTGCATCGAATGTCTGTGGGGCTATGTCGAATATGTCAAATTTTCACATTTATATTTTATGCTGTGACTCACACATCACATATATATGTACTTCAATAAAATAAAAAAACGTTGCCTTGTTAGTTCAACAAAAAGGAGCAGCTCCTAATATTTGTTATTTGGTTTATGAAGATGGTTCTGAAAAATTATATGTTTTGTTTGTTATTTGCATGTATAAAACTAAATTCACATGAGAATTACGATCATGTATAGTGTATTACTGTGGATATATATGTTAAATTTTTGAAATTTTAAAAATAGTGGTAACTTTTGTTTGTTCAATGTTCTATACACAGAGGGTTTAGATCCAGCATTGTGGACTGCTGAAATACACCATGGTGGTCAACTTCAAGACATAGGTAATGGATACAACTTTTATTTTGGTGGTAGTGTGGTTTGGGTAGACAACTTAAATCGAGACTACATGTCACCTTTCGATTTTGATGATTTTGCAAAGAAATTGGGGTATCAAGAACGTGTTGGATACTACTATAGAGTGCCAGAGGGAGTAAATGGGGTGGAAAGTAAGTTGGTTTGTATTACAAATGATGAGGTGTTTAATAACATGTTTGATAACTTGCTTCACAGTAGAGTTGTTGTCATTTATTTCTCTCATGGAATTTCTTGTGGGCTTCTAGAGAGTCAGGCATCTATTAATAACCATTATGTGCAGCAAATAGATATATTTCAAACTGAGAGGCAGCAAAGTAACTCACGTCAGCCAGAGAAGTCTCCTCAATCAGATGTGCTAGAATTTAATTGGGTGGATGTGGATGTACAAGAAAAGGAAGCAACCACTGAATCTGATGATGAATTTATTGATTCTGATTATGAGCAAGAGGAAGAAGGGCTTGGTGTATCATTTGAGCAAAATGAAGATGATGTCATATATGACCAAAATGTAGAAGGTTCTAACAAGGAAGATATACAAAATGAGATTGGACCAGAAGAGCAAGAGTTTGATGAATACAATTCAGAAGATCTTAAAAGCCTAGATGGGAACTCATCTAGTGATGAAGAACCAAATACAGTGAATAGGAGAAGGATGAAGAAGAAATTGCCAAAATTTAAACAATTCAGGAGAGAAACTGATATTAGAACCATAGAGTTTCATTTGGGGATGGTTTTTGCAAATGCCAAGGAATTCAAAGAAGCTGTGAAATGGCATTTCGTTAACCATTGTAGGTCTTACAAGTTCAAAATAAATGATTGGTATAAGGTTAAGGCTGTTTGTAAAGCCGAGCCATGCCCTTGGTCTGTGTATGCTTCTTCTAATGACTTGTCTGACAGACATTCCCCTTTACATGTTAAAACATTAGTTCCAAATCACACATGTGGAACTGATGAAAACAATACAAGTGTGACTAGTACTTGGTTGGCTGATAGATATGCTGACGATTTATCCATTAATCCAAAAATGGATGTCAAGACAATGAAAGCTATGGTGAGGAAAGATTATATGGCACAAATCTCAAGGTGGAAAGCATATAGAGCAAGATCAATAGTAAATGAGAAGCTTGAGGGTTCCTACCAAGAGCAGTATTCCATACTACACAAGGGTTTAGAATTGAAGCAAAGGTTGTGGGCAGCAGCAAGGGCAACAACAGTGCCTTGGTTTGATGTTGAGATGAGTAGTTTACAAAAGTTGGATGATGAAGCATATAAGTGGCTTAAAAAGGAAAATGCACACTACTGGAGCAGATCACATTTCTCTGAGCACCCAAAATGTGACATTTTGCTAAATAACTTGTGTGAGGCATTCAATAGTGCCATACTGGATGCAAGGGATAAACCTATTTTGACTATGTTGGAAACTCTGAGAATGTATATGATGTTGAGGATGGCTAAACAGAGGGAAGCATGTGACAAATGGCATGGTGATATTGGGCCAAGGATCCATACGATCGTTGAGAAGAATAAGGTAGAAAGCAGTAAGTGCATTGCTCATTTGGCAGGACAAAAAATGTATCAAGTGGTGCATATGAGTGGGGTTCAATTTGCAGTTGATCTGGCTAAGCACACTTGCACATGTAGAGGGTGGAATTTGACTGGAATTCCTTGTGGACATGCAATAGCTTGCATTTGTAGAAGGCATGAAGATCCTGTCAAGTATATACATTCATGTTATAAGAAGGCATCATGGAAAAGGGCTTATGGACCTTTTATTCACCCTATAGCCAATGAAGAGCTGTGGGAACACACTAACTTTCCTCCCATCTTGCCCCCTGTGTATCATAAGCAACCTGGGAGACCCAAAAAAGTGAGGGCAAGAGAGAAAGATGAGAAACCAGCAGCACCTACTGGATCTAAGCTATCAAGATCCTTCCATGTCAAAATAAAATGCTCCATTTGTGGGGAGCATGGCCACAACAAGAGAAAGTGCGATAAAAGAGGTGGTGCCAACAATATCAATAAGGTATTTAGCTTGATTGGTTTTCAAACATATCATTTGCAATCACATGATATATGTTTATAATTACTGAATTTATTTGTAGGCAAAAAGACCAAGTGCATCAAGAGGCCAAGCAGGCACTATCAGTGAAAGAACAATTCAACCAAATTTAGCAAGTACATCAACATACCAACCAAGCTCTAGCTTGCCAATGGAATCACAACCCGTTTCTTCTGTGACAACCAACACAACAAGGAAATTTAGGCTCAAGTCTCCTGCTAAGAAGACAAAGATTTAGAAATCATAGAGGACTTAATTTCTTGGTTATATTTCTGTTTTCTAATTAATTTGTAGTTTATTATATAGGCATGTCCTGTATAAGGACTGCATGCACTGGTGTTTTGGTACTTGAATTTAGACATTCCTAGAACTTGTTTGTCAATTGCAGATGTTTAGTACCTTTTTGGGATATTTATATATACTAGGAATGCAATTGATTCCTTCCCAAAACCCATGATGAAGTTACAAAATTTAAATTCTAGTTTTGATGTTAAATTTTTTGAATTTGCTGGATTGAGGGTGAGAGAGAGAGTAACTGCAGTCTGAATTTTTATTTTTTGGATATGCGAACTTCCATTGAAATGAAGGACAAGCCTTTGAACAAATAGTGCAAGCCATGAAATGAATGCAAGAAGGCTTTGGCAAAAAAAAAAAGGAAATATAGGAAGGCAACAAAATCAATGGGCCATTGCAATTTGATATGATATTTGGTGGAATAAAGACGATGGAGTAGAGAGAAGAGAGAGAGATATGGAGGTTAGCTTTATTTTTTTGTATTTTTAAATCTATTTTTTAATATAATTATTCTTTGTTATAGTTAATTGACAAAAATACCCTTAAACTTAACGGAAATTTTAACGGAGTTAGACGTAGGTGGCGGATTGCAACACTTTACAAAGTTCAGGTGGTTAAAAATAAAAATTAAAAGTTCAGGTGGTAATGACGCACATGCTTGAAAGTTCAGGTGGTATTTATGCAAATTTCCCTATAGAATAAAAATAATTTTCTCGTATTTCATTTATATTTTACATTTACGTCTATTAATATGTTTGATTAGATTAAACTAGGGGTGGGCATCTCATCCGAATTATCCGCGTACCGATTGTACCGTACCGACGGTTTGGTTTGGTTAATGGACACAATATCTCTAACCCCGACGGAAACATGTACTGATCCAATATTTATACTTATTTTATTATTTAAATACAAAACAAGAAACTAAAGGTAAATACAATCAGCAATTTGTATCACTCCTTTATCACTGCTGTATCACTACTTTATCACTATTGTATCACTGCTTTATCACAATGGTATCACTTCTTTATCACCCGGGTACTGTAGCAGTTTTTGGTCAGAGAGGAATTTCTGAACTTCCTATGTTTTACAGTTTCGACATTTGTCCTGTTTTTTACTTGTAACTTTCCAACCGTTGATCCAAATTTTATGTTCTGTATATGGTTGGATTCAACATGAAAAACTAAAGAACCCATTGCAGAACAAATGTCAAAATTAATTACAAAAATGTAGAGAATCCGGTAAAAAGAACACTCAAGGTTCAAACAACAAACACAAGTGGCTCCCAGTACATCTTGAGTACATATTGAATGATATAGTGACTAAGTTATCTGATTTCATACTTGGATGAATTAGACTATTGGATTTTTATATTTTACAAGAATAATTAGGTGTATTTGTTCAAGAACTTATGTTTTGTGAAAGTATTATGAATTGCATTTCTATTAGTATGTTTTAATTACAGTACTACCGGCGTATAGAACCAATCCGAACTAAATATTAGGTTAACCGATCCGAAGTCTTTGGTTTGGTTAACGGAAGAGAAAATGATCTACCAAAGTCTTTGATTTAGTTAACAGAAGAGCCATCTACCATTCCGAACTAATCTATGCCCAAGCCTAGATTAAACCTATGATCCAATCGGATTGGATTATAATTTTCTAATCCAATCTATATTGGATTGAATGTGGATGGCTAAATTATATTGATTTCGAACTGATCTACACCCCATGAAAAATTGTCACTACCATCAATTTTGATGTTGAACCTTCAATTTTCAAATTTATTGCCCAAACAAGTACCAAGCCATTGTGCTGGGTATTATAGGACAAACATAACTGTGGTTGGGAACCTTAAAAATCAAATTAGGAACGCAGTACATACAGGGCAGACTTCAATGGCTGCACAGTACATATATATCTGCACTGCAAAAATAAGGCTTAATAGTAACGACTCTTTTACTTGTATGGAACCTTGTAACCACCACCAAAGAGTATGTGCGGAACAATTACAGGAGCAAAAACTAAGTTGGATATAACCAGCTAAATAGATGAGAAATGCAGAAACAAAGCCAAACAGATAAAACTTTCAACAACACAACCATTTAAAGAGTGACATCAAATTGACTAACAAAAATTTCTCAAACAAAACTTCTTCATATCTCATATTCTCATCCAACAATTCACAAAAATCAAACACTACATGCAAATTGAAAACGGAAACTAGTAATATTACGACATAATATATAACCCGGAAACGACTGAGTTATGACTAGATTAATCAAAGAGAGAGAATCCCATGTCATCATCACTCTCCTCCTTCTCTTCCTTCTTCTCCTCAGCTGGGGGAGCCTCTGCAGCTGCCACACCACCTCCAGGGGCTGCAGCAGCCCCACCTCCAATAAAGGCACCACCACCGCCGCCACCACCAACGATCACCTGTACCAAAGAAGTTTCAAGTTATGGATTCGGCAATACAACACTATAACCATTGAAAAGGGATTAGCAAGAATTAACATCACATAGCAACCACAATTGGTCCTCTTTAAACCAACGGTTTCCAAGGTTTTTCTCAACACAAAACTGCCATACAAAACATATTGCAAGGGGAAGTGCTTTTAAACTTTGGCTTTTCACTACAACAGACAATATCAATAGAATTACAACAAAAACAAGCGAGAGTGCTTATGTGAACAATTTGGGCAACATAATTTTTTTAAAATTTGAAGCATAAACCCAATACATGGATGTTTGACCATTTACAGCTTATTTTCCATGTAAAACAATAATTTCATTCAATTTCTTGCAATAATCGATTGCAATTTTCAAAAATCACAAATCAAAAGAAAAAGCTCCGAAAACAATCCCATATGCACGATCAAACCAAATACGAATAAACCCATCAAAAACCAACAATAAGCAACCAAACAAATCAAAGAAAAATCCCAGATTTCAAATTTCCTTGTCTTCTCAAAACCATAACTCGAGATTTAGTAGAGAAAGACCTGGAAAACGGCTGATGTGGGAGTGACTGGAGAGTAGGAGGTCTGGACCCCACCGGAAGAGTCGGCAGAGAGAGCGGTCTGGACGAGCTTCCTCTGGAGCTCGAATGTGGAGGCAGCAGAGGCCTCAAGGTCTCCATTGTGCTGCTTCGCGCTCCACTCTCCTCCTGAGGTCCTCAACACGAAAGTGAACACTCCCATGGCGAATCGAAACACTAACCCAAAGTTTCAGATGTCAGTGCTTTTGAGACTCTTGAGACACCACGGGCATGAACGGCACTTCGTTTAGTGACTTGCTCTTTATGTAGAATGCGATGCCAAAACCCTAGCAGGCACTCGCGAAAAGTCCTATTTGTCCGTATGATTTTGGTAATTTTCTGAAAGTGATTAGGGATGGATTTGTCATTACAATCCTCCTTTTTGGTGGGTCAACTGTCAATGGGGACCCTAACAAGTAAACGGGCCCCATAACTATTTAATTGATATTTAAATATTTATTTCCTCTTTTTTTAATTGGTATTTTTTTTCCTTAATAATGATTAAAAATTGTAAATTAGTGCAATAACACATAAAATAGGATGTATAATCTTACAATTACACTATTAAAACTAAAATACAAACACAAACTAAAACCCAAATTTAAACTTGAAAATCAACGAGAAAAAAAGTTTAAACAGTAAACTGCAAGAGTAAAAAATGTGGAGTTCTATCTTCATCCCCGCCCCATTAAAGCGAAGCAAGAATTGGGTTAAATTGTCATTCCTAAATACAATACCAAACTAATACTTAACATGAACCCATAAATAAAACAAATCGGTTGGTGTCAAACATGAATAATATCAATTTGGACTTAATGAGATTTTTTGATTTTTTTTATTGGGACCTTTTCTATTGAGAAGGACGATAATATACTAAACTCATACTCACACACAGTACACGGATGCTAAGTCTCGAACTCAGGACCTTTGCCTGAAGCAATAATTGCTCCAAATCATTACACTAGTCACTTGTGGGTCCTTTGCACTCAATGAGATTTTTTACTAGCATTTTATGGTTAAGTACTTTTCTTCCATTTCTTAACATGTTATTGTATTAGCGGAAAAAGAGCTCTTAACTTATCCTAATTCTGAAATGTTACTATACTCTCCCTCTCACCAGTTGAACTCCAAGAGCGAACAACATAATCTTATATGCTTGACCAAGACCATAAAAAAGTGATGCCATTTCCACTCCCTATCATATTTCTCCACTCACCTTATCTTCTTACCCACCGTGTAAATTTGAAAAAACATAATCCTATCTTTTCACCCCCATTATTCCCAAAATACCCTTTAATTATTATTATCTTTTTATCACACGTAATAATTTAAAAGGAAAAAAAGAAGCTTAATGGAACTTAACAATTAACTCCTGCAATCGTTATTCTTCTTCTTTTTTTTCCTTTTTCTTCCTTCTTTCTCTGCAATTTCTCCGCCCAATTGTACAAGTTTTATTTGCCCTCTTCCTTTCTCTAAGTTCGGTTGGTTTTGGTGGTGACTTGAGAACATTTGGGGTTGGGACCCGAGAATGGGGCCCATGTTCACCACATCATCATTTAACAGATTCATTAACAGTTTGTATAATAGAGGGGGCAATTTGTAGGGTTTTCGGAGATTTGAGTATGCACTCATAAATGTCCCTAGAGGTGGGTATGAACTTGAAAATGACCTTATAGTTTGGGGGGTTTTATGTAGCTTTTCCTTTTCTTCTTTTTTTTTGTGTTTTTTTTTCCTGGCTTTCAAATTCTGAATTGATGAATGAAAAATATATATAAAATGTTAAGATAAAATAAAAACTGAAAATTGAAAGCAATTCAAATTGTTTTTTCTTTCAAATTTTTGTTTCATGCATTTTTCTTCACCTTTCCTTTCTCCATAGTTTTTCTTTCACGTTTGTCATTTTCATTATTTATCATGTATTTTTTTTACTATCTCCTATAAAAAGAAAAACCAAAAAAACCAAAACCGAAAGTGTTATAAACTAAATGTTTTGTAAACAAATTGGATTAATATCAGATCATATAATCTGAACAATTAATTAAATCCGTTGGATTAAGTTAAATGCAGATTAACAATGGATTCATAACTCTTATATCACATTTATCCTACAAAATATGCATTATTTTTGTATTGAACAATCAAAGTACCTTTCGGTATCACCACAGATAATATAAAAAACAAATTCAAAAAAATTGTCAATTGGCATTTGCTCACTATAAAAAATGATACATGTACAACCACCTACACATATCAAACCTGTCCCGTTGCTTAAAAAAAATAAGTCAAGAATACAAAGTTAAATTACAATGCATTATTTCTTTGAACATCCTTTCTGAACCCCCATGCTTACATCCAAAATCAAGACTTCCTTTGCTCGTATCTTATGAAGGAAGGTTTGGAATACGACAGAATAGCTACCATTGCGGTGCCGTAAGTGCCTGATATTCTGAATTTCTAAGGGCTTCTTGAGCTCACCAAAGTCTTCAAGAGAAAGAAAACATACTCATTTTTGATGTCACCATTCTCTTTGCTGGAGCCATTCCCACAATTCTCTCAAGCTAAAAAGCAATTAAAGAAAAAACCTAGTGAATATAATGTTGTTTTGTTTTTCTTCTGATATTCATGGGGTCCCAAGCCCAAACAAACAAACAAAGTAGACAATCTGATTCATATTCACTACATCAGGGAGGGTAAAAAGACAACAGGAGAAAAGTCATAAGAGTGCAATTCAACATCAGTTACATGAACAATACCAACTGTTTTCCTGGCTACAGGCTTGCTGTAATACATATTCTCAATCAGATTACACTATTTTAATGCTGGATTTTTTTTTTTTTTTAATACACCCCTCGGGTGCATGGGTAACTGCTCTTAACCACCTGAGATATAAGCTCATTGTGGATAGTTTCTTTATTTAATTGAAGAGAACCATGCTGGTTTCTAGTATAACAGATTGATCACTGAGTTCTTAAACATTTAAATCTCCTACTAAGTTCAACTCTACCCTATCTCATCCACATCACAGCAGAATTCAGCACATTTAAAAAGAGAGAGGAAAAAAAAAATTACCCGAAGGAGATCAAAATGAGAAAAGAGCACTGTGCATGCCATGTCATGGGACCCATCAAGCATATTAACAACCTGTGATAAAATCAAAAGAACATTTGGTTTACAAAAAGACCAAGTATATGGCTGTATCTGAAACTGAATGATATAAAATATCAATTATGGAAACTTATTATTATTTTTTGGATCAGGTAGCCACCCAATTGAGCTTCTTAAAGAGAAGGGGCAATTTATATCGTCTCACCTCAGGGTAAAATTCCTTTCTCTCTGGCAGTGAATAGATGATTAAATTCTGAATTCCACGAATCTACTCACCACAAAAATAAAAAGGATGTGTCAGCAAAGAGGCTATTAAGACTGATTTCAATCTTCCATAAAGTATTTTCCAATTTAAGCAACAATAGACAACAACGTAGTGTGTCCAATATAGAAGAGCACATATATACATGACCAGTGGACAAAGCACTCTAAAGAACCTACCTTATATCTGTGGTAAAAATGTGATCTCTCAGTGTAAAGCATGATCTTCCGCTTTCCTTCAAAAAACCGAACCCGTGCACGAGAAATATCACTTTGTTCTGCATATCTAAGTAGCAAAGAAACATATATTCCATCAGCACATTTGTGACCACACAAAGAAACTCATCACAATATATATAGGACAGATTCTCACTCATGAAGCAAACAGAAGGATGCACTCTGTGACTTCAAAAAATTCCGAACTCGAACATATTCCAAGTAAGAACTGATAAATATCATAATCCCACCCTGAATGAAAAATTCCAAGGAAGATATAATTCATGGAAAAATTTTAAACACTAATATTGCAATAAGTGCAAATTTTAGGCTTAAAATAATTACCTCAATAGAATCTTTTATTTTTGGGAAAACCTGAAAATAGAAAAACAACAAACATCTCAAAATTCGAGTTAAAATGGAAGAAATAAAGTAAATCAGTGAAGTGCAAAATTTAACTTTTCAAGATGCAGCAGGTTGGATGACTAGAGTGGGAGGGAACAGAGTGTATATATGGGCTTCTTTTCTTTTTGAAAAATCTTCAAATCGAATTATCAAGGTTTAAATCTTTCCCTTTTTATGCTGTTTCACAAAAAGGTAAAAACAGTACACAGGTTTAATATTTACCAATGATCTTAAATAAGTCATTTGAATTCAAAAAGTTCCATAACTATTGCAAGATTCGAGAAAATTTCTAATCAGAGTTTCCATATATTATCTAGCCATGAGTTACAAAGATCTACTTTAAGTCAAACTACGTCAATTCAGAAATCAAATTATATTTATATTTATTGCAATGAATTATAAAGTCTCATGTCATTAAGGAACACATCACGGAAAGCAGAACAAACCTTCGTAGTAAAATATTCAAAACGAGCATCATCTAAATGCTCTATTGAATCTGCATCAAACCGCTGATAAATCTGGAAGGTTGAGGAGTAACAGCATGCATTAGCTGATGAAGTCTATTCCAAACAGAAAATATCCGAGACAGAAATAATCGATAAACCCATACCTTACAATTTAATAAGTAACTGAGTATAGTGACACTTACCCTAGTATTATAAATATTCAGTCACAACATCAAAAAAGGAACACATTCCATATCCATTTTGAGATTCTATTACTACATGGAGTTATGAAACCTTGGAAGGAGCCATAATCAGGGACCTAGGATCAAATTCTGCATTTACCAGTTTGAGATTATGGGATGAGAAAGAGTTGTCTCAACCCTGTGTGACATAGCCGCAACAGGTCCGAGCGAACCCAAAGCATAAATCAATAAATAAAATATCCCTGACTAAATGTTTTCATTTCAAATCCACCTTAAAAACTAAAAAAAAAATATCCAATTATCGGCAACAAGAAAGATACAAGGAGCAGTACATAAATTGAAATAATACTTGGACAGTACACTCAGCTTCCTAACCATGCGAAGAAGGGGAAATAAAGGATGACAAATACCTGGCGGACTTGAAGTACAACTTTAGGAAGAACTCCTTTATGCTCATGCACCAACTTCACCTATGGTATAACAAAATAAGTATTTTAGACTTGCAAATTTTGCGAATCATAAAATAAGCATTAGCAGTCTGAATGTTTTGAGAAAATCACAAAATGAAGTTTTTCTTTTGCATTTTGTTGGGAAGACAACCATTATTTTTCAATTGATAGACTTGTCATTAATTTCATGTTTTCTACTGATCATTTGATCCATTGTAGGACCACTGGACAGTAGAGCACTGAACAATAGTATTTACAGGCCACTAAAGCTCAGCATATTCTGGATTTATGGTCTCTGTTTTAAAAATAGATTTGGGTAGATGAATGGACACATGTTATCAGTTTCTCTTCGAAAATCTAGCTTCAGGAGATTCAATTTCCCAATGAATCTTTGCTTCTAATGTATTTTCTCAATGCAAGCATGAATACCATATACACACACGTTACTATTGGTTTGGATTGACATACTCACCGGCTACTAGTCAGTATATAAGTTATCATGATATATAGACACAGACAAGTATGTCAGGTGTTGAAAAAGCACAAGGTGCCATCATGGAAAACAGAAAAATAAAGACCTGTTCCCACAGGTTTGTATGTTTGTAGCATAAAACAGTGGACCATTCACATTAAAGTAGTTTGGATTAGTACAGATAAGGCCCTCCTGTCCTCCTAAAATGACCAAGTCTGAACAGAGACAAACTGGTGCTGGTTTTCAAACATTCTATCTCAAAGAAATATAACATTTCATGTTTCCTGCATTACCGTTCTTGTAACTAAAAATGATCCACAACATGACAAGTGTCTCAGTTTCATTATTTTAAAGGATTAAAAGATCTGTTCTAAACAAGTTTTGAACCAAAGAGGAAAAAGCAACCACAAAAAAGTTACTTATCTGAAATCATATAGCACACTACCAAAAGGAAAGAATTTTTTTACAGAATAATAACAAGAGCAACCAAGCATGCAATGAATTTTGGGAACATTATTGTAATTTGTAGGAGGAGAAGTGCTATAGAAGATATTTTAAAGTCAAAAATCAAAATTTATGCTCTAAATATTTATTTTTAAACACACCTTCCCATGGTAATTATTGCAGTTCTTGTTGAACAAACTGTTTATATCTGCAGAAAGAAGCATCAAGATTAAAGGAGATTGAGAACTGGAATGCATATCTTTATCAAGGTAATGAATACCCTTTAACTTTAATGCATATATTATTGACTTTTTAAATTTGAATTATATCAGAAGTATACAAGAACATACAAAAAAAAAGAAATTGATTTCACAGTTGTCATCGATAGCTTATCAACTACATTTTTTCTGTATAAGAAAAGAAGAAGGCATCTTACCTGGGGTTGAATAATAACTCAAAAGTATCGTTTGCCTATAGAAGGATGCATATCCATCCAGGTACCTGATCATGAAAAGCATTGTTATGTCAATCTTCATGACATGTGATATAATAACTAGTTTTGAAGTCAAATTTGAAATTCAAAAAACAACATTTTTGTCTGTCATTGCGCTTCTTGAGATATTCATAACTATATAGGCTACATAGGAAGCATTTCTTAACTAGTAGTGTGAGGGACGACACTATAAGTAGGAAAACTTACCATGCAACCACATACCACAAAACAATGTTCACATCAGTTGGAAAAAGATTGACAAGAAAACATACCACTGTCTTATACGCATGACATCAGTTCCGTGCTGCTTAGAGGGTATGTGGTTCAATTGTTCAACAACTGACTTTAAAAAGTTCCAGTTCTGGAAATTTTTATAAGAAAAGAGACGATATAAATTTTTGCAAGTAATATATATTTCAAGTAGATAATTGATTACACTCTTTACCTGCATTGTTATAACATCTGCATGATCAACAATTAGAACCTGCCACATCAAAGAAATATATCTCCATTAGTGGAACAGAACCACGGAAGCAGGAAAAATAAAAATAAAAACTCATGAGAACCATACAGACATACTACCAAACACTGACACGTTAGTACGTTACTATGAGATTTACCTCTATGGAAGAAAGATAGTCGACATCCTTTTCCTTATTTACTTTAGCCTCATCAATTTTCTGGAAAAATAAGTCCACTCAATAATAATATAAAGAAAGTGGTAGCCAATCACATTATAATCATATCTGAGGTGTAGAAAGTGAAAAAAAAAGTCAATCAATTACCTTCAACAAACCAACTGAAGAGGCAACTATCATATCTGAGGTATAGAAATCACTGTACAACTTTATGCTCCTCCTACAAAACAAAGAATGAAAATGAGTTGAAAATCTAATTTCCTATAAAACGTTTTGACTTATTAAACACATAAGACATAATAGGATTACTATCCATGGCCACAAGCCCTGCATACTCTTGAAAGAGTTTTACATACTCTCGAGTTATCAATATTATATCATACTCATATAGTATCTTTTGTGTGTATTCTATGATACTGAGGCTCTCAATAACTCTTCTAAAGCCACCTCCAGCACCCAAAATTAACTGTTTGATTGCTCACATTGTTTGACTTCGTTAAATCTCAAAATTGGTCTACCAAAGATATACTATCTACTAAATGGCCAAAAGATACTAGTAATTCTAACCTCACATGTCAACTACTTTCTTAATACATTCCACATTGCATCGAAGATTATACAACACCCTTAGTAAAGCAACAATAAGAGCAATGCTTTCCTGAATGGTTTTTACTATAAAATTTGCAGATAAGTCATCATCGTTATAAGTTAAGTAATTTACTTTGTGAACTTGATGCCAACCATGAAGTCATCCTTGCTATTTCCACCAAAAAGTACTTGAAAGTCACCAGGTTTCGTAGACTTAAGAGGTTTTCCATTTCCGTAGTCATGGTCACCTGGGGGAATTTCTTTTTCGTCCTCATTATCATGATCCTCTTCAGTTCCGAACTCTCTAGAAAATCGATCCATGTGCTCCACATTAACCTGAGAAAGCGGACATAATGTATTAAAAAGAGGATAAACATAGGTACCTTAAGGAATCAAATCCCAGACCATGTGGGAGCAACCAACAGGCCTGACCACTTGACTAAACCCTCGTTATTTAATTCATAGGTAAATACGATCATTTTTGGTTAAGGGATTGGTTTACAAAGTTTTGCTAACATGAATTCTTGGCAATTGAGCTTTCAAGCAGCAGAATGTAGCTATGTAGCTTCCATTAAGAACAATCTCAACAATTATATCAACATCTGAGGAATTTACTACTATGCCCTTGAAAATCGCATCCAATATCAAAATTCAGGGGGGACATGGATTAAGAAGGGGCCATTATCAGACCTTTATGCGATAAAAACTTTTCCGTTTTCATTTTAACCAACATAAGTGGACCAATCTCATACAGGCAGAGTGAGTATTGGAGGATTAGTATTTAATAAAGTTTATGAAAATATTCCAAAAAAGGAGTACAGCCTAGACTCCTGGTAGAAAGGTAGTGGAATTTCCTCATAATTTTCTACTCATTGCATGCTTGTGGGGTTTACTCTTAAATCAAAGGTATCAGAGATGCCAGAAAATAAATTAATAATTTGGAAAGAAATGAAAGCCTTTTATATAGAAAAGTTGAGTAAGGTGCAGAAAAGAAAAGAAATACACAGGAAACCAGGAAAAAATAGTCCATCCAAAAGCGGCACAACACTCATAAAATCATATCATAGGATTAAATCTGACCTTCCTCACATTATTACCCCCCAGAGAAATTCTCACATATTCCTTTATACAAACTTTGTGGGGGTTAACCATTGCATAATTTATAGAAGCAGAAAAGAAAAATGAAAAGGTACCTTGTGAGCTGAAGGAGTAAGCTGTATTAGCCTCTTAACAACACGAAGTGCAATGCTCGCAATTGGCAATATGATCAAAACCTGGTGAAGAAATAAAACAAATCCACTTCACTAAGCATGCAAATTACAATGTCAGGATTTGAAGATATATGTTCTTTTCTCTATACCAGAGATATGCATCAAGTCTCAAGAGATAACTTTATATGCAACTTGATGATGATAATATTTATAATTATAGATGCACTAAGTCCATTAGAATCAATTGCAACAACTACAAGAAAAGCCAGGAGTGGATAGCCTCCAGAAACAAGTTTGATTAAATTTAAAACAGAAATTGCACGTCTACAAACAAGTGGAAAAGATACACTACAGGGCAAGTACAGAAAAAAGGATATACTATACCATATGATGATGTTACAAAAATGGACTTCTTGGGTAACTAGGATGAATATGAGTCAATGTGAATAAATGTCTACAACAGGCAATCTAAGGAACTATAATTCACCCAAGTAGTTCAACTCTAACAGTAAAAAATCTCAAGAACTCAGATAACTAAAAGCTAAAATCCTTTATAAAGTCATGCTATTTGATATAAGAATAAAATCATGACTTACGACAACCTGTTCAATAAAGGGATATTGTGAGACAATGCCACATAGGAATTGGAAAAAATACCCGACTTTTGACTTTCCTCCACTATGTGGACTAATAATACCAACCATTTAAGTATTTGGAAAATTGCACCCACCAAAGGTAATCCATCGTCCGAGCCTTCACAGAATTTTCCTTGGAAAAAATATAAGGAAAAACAAACAACAAGAGTAACAGAATGCACTTTTTCTGTCAACTCTATGCTGTAGAAATTGGGGAACCTACAAGAGTTGTATTATTCCACAAAACCAAGTTTCAAACTTATTGTACTATATGTAATTCCCATTATGAATCGACACATGCCCTAATATATGTACTGCTACCATATCCACATATGTGACAATAGTGAAACTTCTAGTACATCCAAGTTTAGATATTAAACAAAAAATAAAAATAAAAAATCCAAGTCCAATATATTATAACAAGAACATGACGCTTATATACCTTAGGACGAGTAAATCCACGATCAAGGAAATTATCATCAGCAAGAATTTCATTATTATCAGTTTCTTGACGCTTGGACGCCTTTGCATCATTCTTCGTTACAAGATCTCTAGTTCTGAAGACATGATTCAGCTGCATAATATCACTTCAATTAATCATTATAAGAGCAATATATATAATCTTAACACAAAAATATTGGTATCTTTCAAGGAATAGGGACAAGCACATACACAATGCATAATATATGCATCCATGGCACTCGAGTCTTCATCAGAGCCTCTATGATAAAAGGGTTTTTTGTTGCAATGCAATATATCCCGATAGCTGTTGACTGGGGAAATGTAGATACCAACGTAACCAGAAAATAGATGTAAAATTAGTCAACCCATACTATAATTGCAAAGCCCAAAAATTTCATGACTACAAGAATTTAGGAAAAATATAAATTTTTTTTTTAAAAAAAAGCAGAAAAATAATGCCTTTGTGTCAGGATTAACCAAACACCTCTAAGATAATACAAAAAGTGACAGTCTACTGCATTAAACAATCAAACACAAATTAAACTTCAACATAGCTCAAGAGCCATGTCCCAAGCACCAGGAACTGACAATGTCCTGATTCATAAAACTATTGGTACACTGCTGCGCTTACATACAGCTGAAGCAAGCAACACTAAGAACCATGTGACTACTTGCATATTTCTTGGTATTTTACATGAATGATTAATACAAAATAGTAAAATACAAAGTATAATAGTACCCTAATTCATGACACTTCCTCTTTTGATAAGAAACCCAACTTCCATTAATAAAATGAAAAAGATTACACCAGACAAGGTATTCATCGGAATCAAGCCAAAACAAAACAATTACTGAACAACTTAAAAATTACTTTGACACTTGGTAGTCTACATCTATAATTCAGATAGAATACTAACCATAATTTAATTCTTTTACTAAGACTTTTTTTTTTTCAGGTACTGTGATTGTTACAATGTAAGGAAAAGTCCAGATTGACTAAAATTCTGAACTAGTCATCAGATACAGTATAAAATGGCACTCCTGTCAGAAATAATAGTTGCACATAATTAGCTAAGAGTATCAAACGCCCTACTCAGTAATATCATCAATGCAGGCTCTCACAAGGATTTTCCGTTCAACTTTGAACTCTAGGCGCCCTCTCCTACACATCTACCTCAAAAACCTACGGCTGGTACGTCGTCTACTTTACCATCACCATTTTATTACTTGGGACTAGATTCTCCCTCTTTGTAAAAGGAACAGCCTACCCACTAAGCTTGAGACATACGGTTATTTACAGCCTCATGTTCACACCTAATACAGTTTTATTTAACTAAAATATAATTTGAAGGACAACCCGCTAAGGTATTTAAGTTGAAAAATTAATTTTCAATTAATGATAACTTTAGCATTCTATACTTGCTCATCTTTTACAATTGTGGGGAGTTATTGTGTTCTCCATCCAAAAGTTCAAAATGTGCATAGCTAGCTTCTTCTCTAGCCTATCGTATAGAAAGCTGAAGTATCATCCTTCTTCACCCATTAATATAGAATTATATGCTGTGGGTTTATAAGAGTTGGATTGAAATTTCAAATCAAGATAAATCCAAGTTCAGTTCAGGGTAAACAAAAGCAAACATGAGAACAGCTTTTCATGCATGAGTAACCCACTACCATTGCTGTACATGTTTATAAGGAATGCTCCAATGAACTCATAATCGGAAAGCCACTTGCCCAGTGTAAATGACAATGGCTAATTCCTACCTTCCAAATGCCAAAACATAGTAACGGATGCATGGCTGAAACACAGCGGTGTTAGTATTAAATCCATCATTTTTTTTTTTGTCTCTAAAGCAAGGACATGTATTGAGGCGGACATCATTAGTTAGTTTCCTGATTTATTAGTTTCCTAGATTCTCTAGATTTTCCAGATTTTACTAAGTTTTAGTTTCCAGTTTTTAGTAGGATTTGATTTAAGTTTCCTAGTTTATTTGGATTGGTTCCTTTGTGGATTAGGATTTCTTTTTAGTAAGGGATTTTTATCCTATTATCTCTAGGTTTTAGTTTGCTTTAAATACTCCCTATGTAGTTCTTTAAAATGGAGATTTGAGATATTAAAGAAAAGTTTACTTTCCAGAGATTGGAGACTCCTTGGTGTGAAGCCAAAACTCTACTTGGTGTGAAGCCAAACCCCTGGAGTGATTCCTGACCTATCCCTTTTGTTCTATTTTCTATTTTCCATTGTTTCCGCTTCCACTAAACTACCTAAACCTAAAATTCACCCGTGTCCTACATCATGTATCCAGTTTTAGACCAACCCAGCAGGAAATCAAATTTTATTGACTTGTGAAATTAAAAAATATGACATCAGAATCAACCCAGAGGTGTCCTGGCAGATGAAGCATGGCATATGAAAGAAATCTTATTTATTTGATCAACGAAAAGACAAACACTGGATAAACTACATAAACTACAAACCTGTACTAAATATCATTTATATGGTGAAGAAGACAAATAAAGGCTCTCATCAATTTGATTATGGATGCTAAAGCTCCACTAATGAGGAATAGGAATCAATCATTAACTGCAGTTTCAACTCAAAAGACAAGCCTAAACAATATAAAGGTAAGAACAGTCTATTTCGATTTACCTGTACTCGAGATTAATTTATTGTTTAAAGCTCCATAAGAAAAGGTCAGAGAAAAATCACATCAAGTTTAGCACATATTTAGCATAGTTGTATAATCATATCAGGGAGTGCTTTCAGAACAAAGTTGGTAGACTCAACCACACAAGATCCAAAATGGAATTATTATCAGATTAACTTTTTAAGAGAGTGGAGAACTGAGGGGAAACATGTTCTATTGAACTCAATGATATAACTCAAGAAATGACACTGAGAAGACATCAATTCAAGTAGAAATGGGTACACTTACAGAGGGAGAAGAATAATCTTTGTCTAGATGAATGAAAATTATTGCCTCCAGATGTGTTATATGCATCCAACCAGTGCTTGTACAACTTTGGCTTCAGACCACAACCAGAATTGGGGTTGTCATCCTGAAAAATATTACTCAAAGAGAAAAAGGAATATATGAATATAATTATATGAAAATTGCAGAATAAAAAGCATTTTCAATTCAACTAGCTCATTATAATGTATGCATGCTAAGTAGGTAAGACATGGACCATGTACCTAAAAGAAAAAATCAATAAGAACCTCCACTAGGTTGGGAGGAGTATGAGGATGCGAAAGGATACCTCCAGTTTGTGGATTTACATTAAAAAAAAGGAAAAAACAAAAGAGATCCTTTCAAGAGCTTTTTTACAAAGTACAGAAAAACATATGTAGCACAGTTCAAAAAAAGGAGACATACTTTTATGAAACACTCTCCTGTTCCAGCCCACTTGCCCTTTGACATCCCAACAGCAGGCACCTCCCACTCATATTTCCATTTCTTTTTTGACAGATTTTCAACATCTGCTTTTGTTAACTTGTGCCCAAAGTGTACATCAAAGGAACTGCAAGATAAAAAAAAATTAAAAAATAGGGGAATGAAGTGTATATATGCAATACAATCTGAGGTTGAAAGATAAAAACACAGATTACCAAAATGGAAATACCTAAAAAGTTCTGCCATAAAAATTCATAACCATATAGCACCAGAAAACAAAGATTCATAGACATAGAAGCATTAATGGAAGAAATTCTGAAGATATGGAAGAAGGGAAAATTTATTTGTGGGTCAGACTAAGATTCCTTGCTTCCTTGTGTATGACATTGTCTAAGAACTTTAAGGATGTAGCTTTCAGTGTGATTCAACTTGATTGGTCCCGTACTTAGTTTGGCTGTTTTTTTTCTCATTTTCTTGTTGGCCTAAGTGTGGCTTTTTCTTGTTCTGTTTATGTGCGTGTGTGCATGTATATAATATACATGTGTGTGTGTGTGTGTGTGTGTGTGTGTGCGCGCGCGTGTGTGTACAAAAAGCATTATACTTAGTTTTCTGTATCAAGAATCAAAAACCCCCTTAATACTAGTGGTAGACTAGTGGTATAATCTTTATAACAACAAAACCTGACCTCTAGGTATCAACTCTAGACTTCTAATCGGGGTCAAAATGTTATCCAATCCAAGCAGCAGGCTATGTAACACTTTTTGCTGCAGCACATTCGCAACCACCTCTATTGTCTTCCCACGGTTAACGAAAAAGGAAAATTTATGAATGTCATCCCATTTAAAATATCACATTTACTCGGTCTAAAGAAAATCCCATATTTACTGTAAGAGATCCATTTTTCATACACTCCCAAAAACACAAGTCCCTTGGTCAAATCAAAAACTATTTCGGCTAGCTAAGAAACTTGCTCTTTCCGAGGAAAGGGCAAATGAATTAGAATCTTTAACCATTTTATGTTCACTGAAATACGCTTCAACTGGGCTTCATTTATAGCATCTATCCAATTAACAAAATCTAATGTGACAATAAGTAATCATGATAAATTGTTATTTATTCTCTGTTTTCCTAAGAAAGTACGAAATATATTGATCAAAATAAATCTTATAATGGAATCATAGATAAACATAAATCAACCCTACTTCCAATTAAATAGTGTGAAACTACAGCATTCTTTTTGCCCATTCAATCCCATCTAAGGTCATATTCTCACTTAGGTCATACGTTATCATACCTCAAACTTTCTTGTTCGCTCATTCAACCAAACTGTCCTTCATCCTATATTCAGTTGGGGCATCCAACTTACACTCTTGTCTCACTTAGCACTCATATTTGGACATGAACATAGGTACTTTACAGCCACATGACACTCAAGATTGTTGGACCCTCAATTAAACTTTAAGCTAGTGGTGATTTACGTCAAGCTTAACACAACACACTGAAAATTTCAATGCATGATAAAAACATAAAAGCTAAATGAACACGACATTTCATGTAAATCCACCTCAAGCACATTGATGATTCAACAGCAGATGGACGACTGATTCCCAGGTCATGTACACCCGAGTCATAGCTCTCCTGGTCATCCAAGTCAGAGGTCTCCAGATCATCCTCAGTTTCAGCATCTTCACTCTGTTCCTCAATACCAGCTATTTCAGGGTCTTTGGGTTTTCCTTTCATAGGAAATTCATCATCAACTCCTATGTACAAACATTACAAGGATTAAATAATATGCAGTGTAGAGCAAGCTAACAAATAAGGACAAGACAAAAGGTCAAGCTGACTTGCGCTTATACATCTTGTTTATTAAGTTAACCTGACAATAAAAGAGCAAAACACAATGGTGGATAGTAAACCATGTTTACAAGAGCAAGGCGTTCTTCGGCATCAAAACCCAAAAGAATTCATCAAGTGTAGTACAATTGTGGAAATCATTTTGTCATTCGATTGCTCTTCTATTGTGCAAAGGATGTCAGCTAGTATATATAACAGAACACCAATACTAAAGTACTTCTTTTCTTCCCTCAAACCTAGAATTCCAATTACTACTTACTACATTCCTTTAGTCTCCATGCAGTAGTGTGATCTTTATGAGGAAACATTGCTCACCAAACCCTTGCTCCACATGGCTCAGTCCCTAAAACTAATTAACCCAATCCATAGTGACGGAATCGGGATTAAAAAAAAAAACTAATCCATCTCTACAACACCATAACTCAATTACATAAAGGGGAACACCAATACGCCGCATAAGAAAAAAAAACAATGTACTGTAAAGAAGATAGACCTCATCTTAATTCATATTGCATAGGAGATGGAAAGGTAATTAAGCATTTATGCAGACTACAATAGTGTCTTCCTTCCATAAAAATATTGATATATGACTATATGAACCTTAATTAGGGGCTTTCGGTTGCTTACATAAAAAGAAAAGGAAAAAGAACGAAAAAAGATATGGGGTTCTAGAGACCAAATCATTACGAAATGAAAATGCACTAGTAAGCATCATTTAAAGGGATTTAATATAAATGGGCTGAGACTGCAAACATATTTACTAATATTTGAATGAAAATCATAAATGCTCTACCTTCTTCACTATCATCCTCTTCATCTGAGTCACTAGAAGATTCAGTCCCATCATCTTCATCCTTTTCTGAGTCACTTAAACCTTCTTCTTGTCTTTTTCTACACAGGAAAGAAGCAGATGGTAACATGTTACTTGTAAATTTCTTGAATAAATCAACCCGTTTTAAATAAATGACATTCAGAAAAGAGCATGCGTATAAATTATACTGCCCAATAATAACTCCAGAAAGTTACATTGCTATCAATTAAATGTAAATGTAGCTCAGCTGAGAATCCAACTTGGTTGAGCTTTATATTTTTCTTAAGCACAAAGTGTTGACATACCTCATCAAACAAGCATATAAAAGAACAAAAAAATGAATTCCTTAATGAGTTACAGAGGACGGCAGGGTCTTTTTTTTCCTCTTTTTCTTTTGCTAAGTAAAGAAGTCGACAACATATGGAGTAGCTGATTCCTAGAGTACGCCCTCAAAAGGAGTACTTGACTCCTAGAGGCGCCTAGGAACCTTATAAACCATAATTCAGATCCTAAGCTTAGATCTGGCTGAGTAGAACATGACACACTAATAAGTGAATACAAGAGCCAAAACATACTTGAACAACCAAAAGTCACTGCCTTATGTACACTTAATACTGGGGCCACAAAATTTCTTTTAATTACATACAATAAGCACACACTAACAGACTGAAATTGAATTCAGGGCTTTGAGAAGAGTGTTACCTTTGTTTATATGCAGCGGCAACAGATTTACTAGATGACCCCAGCGTCATTAACAATTTATCATACATGGATGGCTCTTTATAAACCATTTCGTCTTCAGAGGACACACCATTAGATTCTTCCTTTGGTAGTTCCCCTGTATTAGAAAAAGTACCCTGATCTTGAATATTCCAATAATTAGGCATCAACATCAACTAAATATCGAAACTCCCTTATGATAGTAATTGGATGCAAACCCTCAATGGTACAACAGGAATCAAACTAACTTGAAGGAAAACAGTGATTATCTCAAGTACTAATTTTAAGGAACAAATTCAGCCCACAAAACAGCTAAAAGGGAAAGAAAAAAGAAAAGAAAATTTATTATCAGATTAAAAGTTAAAACTAACACACATTCGGAATCTCCCAATTCACTATAAAGTTCAAATATGTAACATGGCTGAGGAAGTAGAGTTATTATTAAATTAAAAGTTAAAACTAACACACATTCGGAATTTCCGAAAACACTCTAAAGTTAACATGCCTGAGGAAGTAGAGGAGGGGCGATGTGCAACATTTTCTTCCTCAAGACGACGAGTTTTCCTGCCTGTGTTGAACTTGTTGGGTATTTTGCGTTTCCCAAATCCTGCTAAAGAAAGAAAAATAATAAAAAATTGTCTCACCAGTAATTATTGTTTCAAAGAAGAAACAAAAAATATAAGCACAACGCTAAACTGAAGAATAATACTGAAAGATTGAAGCTTCTAAGATAAGAAAAACATAACAGATTGAATTATAGTAAATCAACAGGTACTTGGGTCATTGGCAGCCAAACAAAAAACTTACTTGGGTTCTGAACTGATTGTTTTCCCATATTAAGAACAAAACAGAAACTTCTCTCCAACAAAATCAGTCCAATTTAAACAAACAACCCAATTCTATTGCAGACTTGCAATGCTTGTGGCTTGGTTTTGGGTAGGTGAGGATGCTTCGGCGGAGACCCTGAGCTGCTTGAGTTTAATGCGTTGCATAAGAGAGGGGAGGAGTTGTACGGAAGGTTTATGGGGGTTTAAGGTTTTTTTTTCTCTCGTTTTTTTCTTGCTGTATTCTGGCGGGGTTTAAGGATTGGGCAACAGGGTTAAGATTCTAGGGTTTAAGGGTGGGTTTGGTATTGCGGTTCTTTTTAAAAAATTCAAAGATGAGGTGTTTGGTAAAACAGAGGACGACAAGAAAGGGGAAAATAAAAAAGGAGTGCTGATATTTCCTAAAATACCCACCTTCTCTTTCCACCCACAACATAAATTTTAAAAATACAGTCTTATTTTTCCACCCGCCATTATTCCTAAAATACCTGCCCTATTTCAGTGTTTTCTGAATACACGGAATGCATCCCAGCTACACCAACTCTCTCTTGACAACCGAGAAAACCACCATGAACAACACCCATCTCCGCCGACTTAGAAAAAATTAGGACCAACTCCGATCAAAACCAACACGAACTCTTTTCACTATCTCTTTCCACATCATCACAATTCTTTGGTGGAATAGCAGATTTGACATGCAAATTGAGAACTTTTTATCCCTCTATTTCATTGCTTTGTTTTTACCTCTCTGAACTTTCTTCTGTCTTTAGCCTTCATAGAGACCACAATCCTTGCCGAAAAAGACCAGAAAATTTATCAGAGAATTGAGAGGCACTATAGATCTAGAGATTGCGACCAACAAAACTCACTACCAAATTAGGAGGCGGTGCAAGTTGGATATCACTGTGCAGCTTTGATAATGATAAAAACAGAAGAAAAGAAAAAGGTTTCCTATGAGACCTGAGTTGTTTAGGTGGCGTTTGGCCCCGCTGAAATTTTTTAAAAAGCAGCTTTAATAAAAATTTGGCATGAATTGGGTGTTTGGTAAACCCAAAAAAGCAAGCTTATTTTAAAAACACCCATCATAAAAAGCAAAAACTCAAAGCAGCCGATACCCAGCTTTCAAAAGCTGCTTAAAAAAAGAGCCGGTTTTTTTATTAATGAAAGTTTCATTATTCCTATAATGCCCCTAAACATTTTACGAAAGGACAACGTTTGTCCCTCTCACAAAATATCTCGCGACCTTCACTCTCTCTGAGACCTTCACTCTCTGCTCTTCTCACTTTTCTTCTTCCTTCGCTATCTCAAAATTCCAGTCTCAATCAAGGAAGTTCATTGCTAACAACAATCAGCTACTCATCAGTAAGTTCATCTTTTCATTACATTTATGATTTTTGGGTTTATATATGTAATGAAATTAGGTTTTTTTTGGTTTCTATGAGATTGGGGGCTTTGTGTTCTTGGGGCTTTAGGAGGAAGACACGGGAGAGAGACAGAGACAGAGACAGAGAGATAGAGAGAGAGTTTTTTGTACTGGGTTTGTCTCTCGTTGCTTTTTGGCAAGGTTTTGTTTTCTCCCTAGCTTGGTCTGGGGTTTTCAATTGGCCTTTGGGTCAGATACTTCTGTCTCTGTTTCTCTTTCTCTGAAACATGTCTGTCCTAGATGCCTTTTTTCTCTAGATTACCCAACCATCATTGTTCATAGCTCATTGTATAGTTTGGTACAGTTCCAAAATCTCAACAACAAAACCCGCTAGGCCAATCTGGTTCATTATATACATACATCTATATATATACACACACACATATATATATAATTGCAACCCCAGTCCCCAAAAGTCAAGTCCCGTGTTGATTTTTCCATTGTCCTAACCTTGTTTCAACTTTCCATCAGTTCTGATATTTTTTACAACTTTGTTGATTATGAGTTTTCTTTCCTGCAGTTGCGGATGCTTCATTGCTGTGAAGGAAGTTTCCTTGCTGGATAAAGGAAGTCAGGGGGTGCAAAGAGTTTATCAACTTGAACAGGTGAGAGGCTTGCGTTGTGTCTGGTCCTATGTCCTGGTTTTGCATGCCTATACTAATTGATTCAGTAATAGTTTGTGAGT